AAGAAGGATTTTGAAGATTTAAAAATGTTGTTTGAGAATTTAAAACGAGAAAATTTGAAAAATTAAGAATTCTTAATAATCTTCGTTTCAAAAAATTAAGAACTTATAAGGATGGTTCCTCAATTATTGGCCTATTAATTCGAGAATAACCATCGTCAGATTGGATATGGAATCAAACAAGCTTTTTTGATAGGCAATTTATTCTATACACATTTCAATGGACATTAATCGTCTTTCTAGCTCAATCTTAAAAATGATAGCTTGAAAAGCCAAATCATTTTTAAGAATGCACTGGCAGAATTGTCCTGTCCATGAAGAATTTAATAATTACTTCTTTTACTAATTTTAATTGATTTTTAATTCCTTCAATATTTTTTTCTGAAGAATTTGATTTTATTTTTTTTTTAAATTCCTATACATTCTCATTTAAATGAATTCCTTAAGTTTACATCTTTTATGCTCAAAATCATGTTCTTATGCAATTGAGGTTGATTTTTTAAAAATGAGAAATTCAGCACTGATTCCCTTTTGCAATTTATTTAATTTATTATCTCGCAAATTTCATTTTCCAGCAGTTATGTTCTTTTTCATCTCTGATGCATAAAATTGTTCATTTAATATTTTTTCAACGAGTGGACGTGAAATCTAATTTAGTGTTTATTATTGCAATAAAATATCCAAAATGAATCAAATATTAATTGAGCACACGAAATAATTTTAGTTTTTTTTTTTGTTGAAATTAAAAATTGATAGAGAATTAATGAATAAATTTATGTTGGTTTTATGCTAATTAGCATGACTAAATCCAATTTAAAATTGATATAATTTAGAAAATTTAATTCTGCTGATGAAAATATAAAAAAAAAGTTTAATAGCTATGCTGAATTTTGATAAAATGATTTGAAGATTTTTTGTTTGTTTTGTTCAATTCGAAAAGTTTTAATTGAAATTATTTGAAATATTCTATAATTTGCTTTTCCACATGACAATTTTAGAATAAATTAACAGAACTGATTGAAAATTAATGAACATTTGAGGGTTGATTATCGTCATTATGTTGCAATAGACAAGTTAATGATGATTTGTGGGTTTTTAAGTTGGTTAAAGAGATTGAAATGTAATTGAAAATTAGAATGTGATTTGTACTGAATCTTTAGATTTTTTGATAAGTTTCAAATCTCAACTTAGTTTTGATCAAATAGTTTTTTTTTTTAAAAATTTTGATTAGACACTTCTAATCTTAAGAATTGATCATTAATGGAATGAATTTGAAACAAAGTGGATTATGTAAGCAAAGCTGCCTGTACGAAAGAAAGATAATGTGGCCAAGGGTGTGCAACTAATGATTTGATCAAAAATTATCAAAAAATGATGAAAATGTAATTTATCAGTTCCGAACCCTTGAGTTAAGCAACAGAAATCTGTAAATATTTCAATTAAAATGTAAGTTCAAATACTTACAAAAGTCGATTAAATTGTTAAAATTATTTTTCAATTTTTAAATCTTTGTTCGTTTTCTAAAATTTTTGTACAGCACAAAGATCCTCAATGTTCTATGTTTTTCAGCATAGAATCAAAAGTTTGTTCCACAATTCTAAAACTCGCACTAGATATGAATCCAATTTTATTCCGAAATTTAATTTCCTCTAAAATTTGTCATTAAACTTTTAATTTCAACATTATTTCAATCATTCCTCTCTTTTTGAACGTTAGAAATTAAATAAAATATCAAACAAATTGAATTGCTTATTATAACTACTGAAAAAAATTCTTAAACTCATGAAAAATGAATTTTAATCGTGAAAAAAGATGAAAATACAATTTTTCTTCCTTTATCTATGAGAATTTGTTCCTTTTATTTTTTTTGCATATTAAATTTTTTTTTTTCGTAAACTGAAAATAAGCATCATGCTGCAATGTTCATAAACTGCTGTGCAATCCTCATCCGATCTAATTAAAACTTTTTTTTTCACAACTCCCATTTTTTTCCTATTTGCATGGTTGATGGATGAAGAAAAATGAACTGCTGACAACATCGACTCTTCAACTCTTCTACATAAAATTAATATTTTGTCTTCTATCTCTCATTTTTCTGAGAGAAACAAGTATCCATCATCCATTCGGTGTGGTTTTAATGAAATGCAAATGACAAATGTTTTTTACACAATTTCTTTTTTATACTTCTTATTTACATAATTATTTTTTGCAAAATAAGAGATTTTTATATACTTTTTTGTGTCCAGTTCTGTTTGACATTCCCTCCTACTGCTTCATGTTTATTTTTCACTTTAATAAATGTTGGTAAAACTCACGAACTATCTTGAATTTACAAACATAAAAATCCACATTGAGAGGAGTGAACAAACAACATAAATCCTTTTCTCGCAGGAACTTTTGACTGCATGACCTTTGCTGAATGATGTCACTGAGATGATCGAGATGAAGAGGAGTAATAACATTGTTGCAGGAGATGGAAATAAAAATAGAAAAAAGTTTTTATTATTAAAAAATGAAGTAGTCAACAAGTTAGAATGTAAGGTTTGAGGTTAGGATGTAGTTATGGCTTCATTGATCAATCATGTTATGCAGTTTAGATGAAGAAACTAGATACAAGTTAATCATCATTTAATGATGATGTGCAAGTGACAGAAATTCAAATTCAGACCGCCATTGGTCAAATCAACCCGAACGACACACAACCAATTAGCAAAAGCATCCAGTTGGAATTTGCTTCCAAGTGGCTGCAGCTTTGTTTTAATTATACTATCAACCCGGTTGTCGGGTGGCAAACATTTCAATGAATTTCAATGTGTGCCGATCAGGCAACTTTGTAGTCCATCAGTAAATTGTTATCCAGTCAAACAGAAAGACAACAAAGTGCACTCAAAGACATCCCTTAAAAACAAGTTCATTCCTTTTATGATTTGAAATTGAGTTTGCAATATACATGAATCCTATTCTATTTGCGGTCTTCTTTCCATCCTTTTTACGTTATTGAATATTTTTTAATGAAGGATGAATGGATAGAAAGCACTTTGGGGGGAATATTGAAGTCAATTGTAACAATATGACGTTTTTTAGCAATATGGACTTCATTTTTTATCTTCAGTCATGAATGCTTACTCATTCTTTTATTGCTCCCAACAGCGTGGTTTTTATTCTGTTTAAAAAAATGATTTTTGCTGCTGAGTTTGGTCGTGAATGTTAAAATTGGTTACAATATAAGTTTGGAATTGATCTTTTGTTCACACAATCTCGAACATTCATTTTTTATTACAATAGTGTACATCTATAAATCATTGGGGTTCATTTAAAAATGATGTTAATCGAAAACTTTGGTTTTGTCATATCTTGAGGTCAAGGGTGTGGAACTGAAGAATTATTTTGATCATTTTTGATCTTTTTTGATCATTTTTGATCTTTTTGATAATTTTTGATCATTTCATCAGTGCGACACCCTTGCTTGAGGTTCAAAACTCATCAAATGACTTCAAAAAGGATGATTTTGTGCTAATAAGTTTTTCCAACGTTTTGACTGATTTTCGAGAGCAAGACCATGAAAAATTAAACTTAAATCCAGATCCAGAATTAAATTATTAAAGCAATAAAAAAATATTCCAAGAAGTCATTATATCCATAAACATCCATTGTATCGTAAAGCTATTAAAGCCATTAAATCCTTAAATTCACAACATGAAACGAGTTCTCTTTTGTTCCTATTAGTCATAAATTTTTAATTACGAGAAAATCGTTGCCATTATAATTGGAATCATTATCATCGCCTCCTTTTTCTCCCTAGCCAACCACATTAATGGCAATCATTAGAAAAATCGTGAATTTAAAGTGATGAGAAAAAAGCAGCAAGTAACGATGAAGGAAAAAATCCTACAATAAGATGATAATGTAAAATCATAACAAGCAAAAAAGACAGAGATTAAAACGGAAAGTAAAGTAAAAGTGTCTCATTTAGATAACGTTAGCTTCTTTCTCTCCTTTCTGTAATTAATTTCATTGCTTTTGTCTGCATTTGACTTGAATCAAATCTCTACGAAAATAAAATAAAGGAAAAGAAAAATAAAATAAAATAAAAGCAGATCTACTGGAGATAACAATCTCTCCATGAGATCATACACAAAAAAAAACAATGTTGGGAAAAATAGCTGAAAGGGGCGACACTTTAAAATATATACACAAAAAGTTTTTCTGTTCACGTAGTTTTTTCACAATGGTATATCATTAAAAATAACCCCGAAAGGGAGAAAGGAAAGACAAATGTTATGAATAGAGGAGCTATAGTAAAGAAAATCCTAGCAGCAGTACTGACTTATGTGTCCTTGCTGCACAGTGCATCTTCACATGAAATATTATTAAAGATGATGCTTATTATGGACGGTTTGGCAGGAGTTTAAGAACTTACTTGCTTACTTCGCTGGTCGTACAGATCAATTGTGATCAATGACCTCCCTTAGTCGTACCTTCAAACTAGCTCTATCGTCTGCCAATTGCCTATTCCAAACGCAACACTGTCTCTATCAACATCCTCTTTCCATGAGTCTTTTGGCAATCCACGTGATCTCTTTCCATCTACAAAATCAGATTTGAAGATCTTATTTAATGGAGCGTCAACAGGTCTGCTAATGAAGTGTCCAGTTCATCGCAGCCTGTCTACTTTGTTTCTTCTTTAAAGTTCTCTATAAGGTCTCCTTCCTTCTTCGGGCCAAAGTACTTATAACTGAAAGTTTATAACCTCCATTTGGAATTTAAAGTCATCTTTTACTAGCTATTGGTTCTAAATTAGGCAATTTAGAGATTAAAAAAAAATGACTAGACGAGTGAGTCCTTGGATCTTAAGATGAATCTGGTTCTAAAGATTAATGTTCAATTTGATTCTTATGATAAATCTAATATTAAAGATCCAGTTGAAAAGGATCCAATTTCTTCAATTTACTATTCCACAAACAATAGTCAACCTTCTGTTTAAATCCCTTTGACTTCTTCTTCTATCCAAGCACATCGGATTCATTCAAAAAGAAAATAATTCCACAAATGCGCCATTGTCTTTCTTTATCATCAAAGAACAATCCCCAAGTCGCTTCTTCTCTTTTTTTTGTTTCAACTTTTTCCTCTCTTCCTGTTTTAGAGAAATTCCACTGATGTAACTGTTATACTATTATTAAACAAAAGAAGTAGATTTAAAAAGGAATGAAAAAGTTTCGCGCACAAAAAAAAACGGAAGGTGAGGAGGAAAAAAATTAATGACGATATCGTTGAAAGCATTCACACAATGGATGTAGAAAGCTAGAGTTCAAGCTCTCAGCAACAAAATCTTTGGATGTATATGCTACAAAGAGTTTAAGGAGCGAGAGTGAAAGAGAAAAGGAGGGAAATTATGGGTAATGAAAATAACTGCAAGCACGAGATTTTCTAATTAAAGTCAAACAACACGATGAATTGTGTGCAATTTAAATGTTAATGGTAGCTGAGATATAACATAAAATTGGAAGGAAGAAGAGATGATAATGATAATAATAATAACAATACAATGGGAAGCTCATAATTGCAGTGAACTATGTGGGGAGGTGGAGGGAATGATGCTACATGTTGCATAATATTTTGACAAAGTCAAAGGAAAGCAAGTTGGTTTTACAATTTTTTCCGTTGGTGGAACTTTGACGCAGATCTGTAAATCGGACTTTGAAAAAACTCTGTGTAGGAGTGTCCAACAAAAATGTAGCTGTAATGAGATCTTTGCTTGCCTAAGGATATTTTCTAAATAAGAAAAGCACATCTTCTAATATTAATCTTCTAGAAGTGCCTTGAAGCTGAATCAGCTTTAAATCAGCTTTAAATTTAGCCTTAGTCTAGACTGTGTAGGTTTAAATCTATTTGAAAATTTACTTTGAAATAATTTTAAACCAGACAAAAAGCTCATCATGCATCCACAATCACAAGATTCCCTCAAAAAAAGCGCTAAAAAATATTTTCTCTTGTCATAATTGGAAAGTGAAGCTATAAAAAAATTAATGAAGATTAGAATTTCTCTTTTGAAATTGAATTTTCTTTGTTCCTCTTTTGAATAAAGCCATTTGCTTTACAGTTTAGCTCATGGTCGTTTAATATGAAGCTGACATAAATGATGAGGAAATTAGTTTATGGAACGATCTCAATGGAGGATGATCATGCAAGTTTCGAGGGGAACACAACATGATGAGGAAATACTTAATTTAATATGAAATTCAAATCTAGTGTGGAAATCAAAATTTTGACAAAAAATTGTGATCAAATTTTTTTCCCATCATGTTGTTGTCCCCTCAGCAAATCTTTACGACGGAATAACGCTTATTGAATTGAGTTGAATGAAGGTTATTAATGCTAATGAGCAAATAATTTTTTTTATGATTTTCTTTGTTTGTTAAGCACCAATAAAGCTTTTTAAAATGAGAATATAAAGCAGCTTAGAAGCTTCTTTTGATAAAATGATGGATTAAAATTAATCTTCTTAACATTCATTTTTCAATTAATTTATATTCAGCTTCTGAGTAAAGCTCTACAGCTTTTTTGAGTAGATCTTCATAATCCAGCTGTGGAGTCTAGTAGGAATTATAGTTCTTCGTTTACCTGAACGCAGGACATTAATTGACAGAGTCTCTTAAAGATGAATGTTCAACCAACCGTAAAACAGTAAAATAGTCCGAAAAGGAAGCACAAAATATATATTCAAATATTCTCTGTCTCAATAAAGCTCCTTCCATTATTTATCTACCGGATTGATCAATGAAGTCGAAAAATACAATAAAATATATTTTATATCCCTAGATGATACACATACCTCTCTCAGGAATGGGTTCCTTTCGTGTTGTTTCCAAGAATGCTTCGGTATAATCAGCATAAAATGTCCCCACTTCTGCTGTACATCGCAATATCAGATGTCCATTTTGATAATGTGAAGGGAGAATCTGAATAGTACAAAAAATGTCAATGTAACATTTTTAGGAACAATTGACAAGTTTAACAATACCTGAATCAAAAGATTTTTTGATGACCAAAATAGATTGTTGTCTGCTGTTGGATGGTACATTGTTGGTTCATTTCCAACCTGCAATAGAAAATAAGAAGAAATAAATATTTGAAATACAGCACAAAAAATAAAGCGAAGACGATTATTTCTCTTAAACTAGTTCAACTATGCTATTATGTTCAGGAAAGCTATAAATTTTCGTGTGCGGCGCATAAACGTCGGAGCGGAAAGGCTTTTTTTATATTTAGTTCTTTATATGTATGTATCGTAAAAGACAAAATTTATATTTTTCGAACATAGAAATTGCTCATACTAAAAAAGTAGAAGGTATCTGGAGACATTTAAATGTAAGGATGCGACTTGAAATGAAAAGGGATTCAGATCGAAATTTGTTTGGACAATTTTTAACCTGAACAAAATAAAAAGGATTTTAAATTATTTTCAGCAGGATCCTTTCATGATGAAAGGCATGAAAAAAAAATATCTTTGGAATGTCCATTAATTTTTATATAGTCGTACAGCGTAAATAATTTAGAGCATTTTAATGGGACAGCATATTGTTGTGACTAGACTTTATAGCAGTTATGATTATGGAACGACTAGTTGAATTGGTCAGTGCTTAATATTTTATAAAAAGTAAGGCAACATCCTGACCCACTTCTATTTTTAAACTGTCTTAATTTTATATGAGCATCGATTTTTCAGAAATCACCCAATTACTAAACATTCCACATTTATTATATCGTTAAACGCTGCACCAAAAGGTTTTACGAGACTTTCTGCTGTCAAAGCTTATGTCCTATTTTTAAAAATTTCTATTTCTGCATAATTTCACACAATAAAAATGGATTTTTTTAAGTTCTTCTTACTATATATATATGTCTATCTATCTCCTCGATACATAAAACGGCGTATCCAGTTTTGTTTTATCTTTCTTTCTCGCCATACTCAAGGACATTTTGGAAATATTTCATCCGCTATTTTATGTGCTATTATTCATTTTATACAATTTTCATCTTACATCCTACACCTCCTCTACTCATTGTTAGCAAACTTTGGCAATTGATAGGCATCGCCGTGGGAGTTTGTCTATTTTTACACAATCATGTTAATCTTGGACTCCTTTGTGGCTATGCCCACGATTTATGAAAAAACTTAATATGAGTCTGTACAATATTAATTGATTTCCTACTCGATATAGTTTTGACACTTGAATTTGATTCCGGAAGTAGCACTTGACATGACACTCTTTATCAGTTGATATCAAATAATGCGCATGGGAAATTCTCATACTTGAAGTACAAAGTGATGAACGAAGAAGAATAAAAAAAGCTTATGTGATTTATATTACGTAGCATAATGTGTTTAACATAAATCTTATTTTAATACATACATTCGTACCTATGTTCGAGTATAATGAAAAAAAAGAAATGTACGCGTGCTTCTTCTATTTCCAATGTGAAAAGCATTCATTTATTATGTTTCTTTCTTGCATTTTAAAAGCACTTAAAATTGAGTGTAAGAAAAAACTTTCAAGATCGCAAGAAATAAATAACAATATGTTTAGTCATAAAAATGACAGGAATGATGAATGATGGGACTTAAAATTATGAAATCAATTTGTAATTTGCTTCATAAATTTATTAAATGCTCTTTACTTGAAAAATTTCGAGTGCTTTACTGTGTGAGATTTTTTTTAAGTACCTAGAAGTTTCATATCGAGTTTAATGGATGTAAATGGAAGGTCGTTGACTTCAGGGAAAATGCTGAGGAGGACGATGAGATTTTAAAGTTAATGGACTGATTTTTTAACAAAATGATGTGTATGGGGATGTAGAATCTGAAACAAAGGGATAAAACATATCAAAATTGATCCATGTTTGATCTTTTTTGCATAGGCGCTGGATTAGAGAATTCCAGGGAAGAAGCTGGCAAACATGAGAGCAGGAGAATGTCAGCTTAATGTGTGGACAGACAAATTGTACAAACTAGGTGACAGAGCTAGCAACAGAGTCAGATGTTAACCTAAGTTCCACATAAGAACATGGTTATAGTAAGTAAGTAATGAGAGCAATTAGCTCTTAATTTAATGCAAAATTTTATGAATAGTCTCGTAAATTGTTAAAATGCGTCCAATTTAAAATCAAATCCAGTCGAACAAACTTCAAAAGCCTCTTTATAGCATAATACAATACATGCCACAATCTATCCAGCATATTTCAATCCCATGTTACAATCTCTGTTGAATGACATGACTTTATAATAAATAATTAGTTCAAACTAATTAATAACATGTTAACCACAGAGAAAGATCTCACAAATCTCACAAAATATTTAATTTATTTACGAACCTCAATCACTCAAAATAGAGATTGCTTCCCATTTGTTTTCATTCTTTTCATACCCATTAAAACCTCAACGACAAAGCTTTTCATTAAATGCACATTGTTCTCGCTTTGTGAACGATAATTTTATGGTAATTAAGGTTGAATGAAATGTTGCTATGTGTAATGCATTTTACGTGTGGTTCTTCTATAGATGCTTATATGTTTACCTCTGTGCTGCACTCTCAGTTTGCTGATTAAAGGACAAAAAGGATAGAGAGTAAGAGATAAAACAATTTTCATTATTTCCACACAAGAAAAATGTATTTATTTTAATTCCTCAGCATTTTCTATTGTATGTCCTTTTAATCCACACAGATTTGAAAAATTGCTTTTTTGAATTGAAAAACTTCTTTTTGTTTCCGTTTTTGTGTATCGAAGATTGCAAAACAATTTGTGAGTGATTTTATTTTTATTTCCTTTTTCAATTTTTCTTCTTTATTGTGTTGACATTAGGAGATGACAAGAAACAATAGACATGAGATTGAGTTGGAAAATTTGTATTTATAAAATTGAATGTGGTTTGGGGTGAGTTTTTAAACATTCTTCAAGATAAAATGAGACTTGAAAGATATAAATAATTGCATCTAGTGTTTTGATAGTTAAAAATTACAATCAAGGATGTGTCCACAAATATTTCGAGGTTAGGTTTTTTCCAGGCTCGGAAACTAGGCGTTATACCGCCAAATACCCCCAACTTCAATACAAGGACTCAAAAATAACGCCTTTTTTATATGAAAAACCGCTAAATACCACCTAGTTTCCGAACCTGGGTTTTTTCAACAACCACAAAGAGGGGGGGGGGGGAGTCAAGTAAAAAAATAGCAAGTAGCTTCAAATTGTGGTTGCACATAACTTAACCAAAGCGTACAGCCAGTACCCAAACCCGAATATCACAAGTTGGTTAATCGATCAGAAATTCGGCACCAAGCCGTTTAACTTTAGCATGGTGCTGGATTTTAATCAAAGGTAGCACTAGAGCTCGAAGTCGATAGGGTTCGAGTCGACTTCATTTTTTTCGAATCGACTTCTAGCTCTGAGTAGCACCATGCCAGAGTCATCGGATTTCTAATTGATCTACCGACTTATGCTTTTAGAGACCTGCTCTTATTAGAATATTTTCTCAAATTTTTTTACCATAGCACAAAGCAAGTGCTCAACTTCTCTTATCCTTCAATGAATTAGTATATTTTGATGATTTCTATCAGCAGAAAATGGTACAATGAACACTTAGGAACACATGTGCTGAAATAAATCTCAATACCATTCATCAATATCCTTTAACAGCACTAGAAATAAGTACTTGCTTGAGCATTTAAAATGCATAGCTAGCAGCAACTTTTTTTATTTGTAAAATTTCCGGGAAGGTTGTAATAAAAGCTACAGCATGTAAAGGGTTATTGAACTAATGATTGATTCATGAATAAACCTTGGCTGTAATTTTCACACAAAAGAAAGCATAAAGCAATCCAGAAAGGAGAATGAATAATTGAAATCGGATTGTACAAATAAAGGATGTTCGTTGATTAAAATTGCTCAATGCAATTGCTTACAATCGATAAAGGGAAATCGCATATTCATAAATAGGTATTGGCATATGTATGTAGCATAAAAAGAATCATAGTTTGAGAGAAAGAGATAAAAAATGGCAAAATATCATAAAAATGTCGTGAAAGCAGAATTAAGGAAACGAATGGAAATAAAAATAAAGAACCCATAAGAGGAATGATGAGTAGGAAGCAAGCAGAAAGTTTCAATCATATTTTTTGATTCCCTTTGATTTTTTTCAGTGTGTGTAATTTTGTGGCTTTTTTTCTTTTTCTTTTTATGGTTCTGTCTTCCTACATGTGTGCATTCGCACAAATTGAATGAATGTTCAGTCCCCAATTCGATTCTTGTGTCGAGTCGCAGAATTTGATTGTCGATTTTTTTTTCATGCTCATGGTCATCTTTTTTATTGTTAGAAATCATTTTTGTGGAAGTAATTTCAATTGTGTATATATGGCATCATCTGTGGCCGACATTATTTATGCCATCTTTAAAGGAACAATCTGTAATGTTGATGGAAGTAATGATGAAGGATAAGCGTGAGACAAAATGCAGTGAAGTCGTTATTGATTTAATATATGTGTCTTTATGATGTTCTTCCTAGTGAGCTGACTTTTTGGATGCTTGTGATGATTTTGGACATTTTGTCAATCACTTATGGCAGTCGATTTTCAGGAATTGCGGATGAATGTAATCAAACTTTTATAAATATATATAAGCGACTATCTTCAGCCTTATTTAACACAATATCATGATATATCACATTGTCGTTATAACGACTCAAAAAACGCATTATAAAAGCAATAAAAATAAAATGAAAAAAGTTACAAGATTTATTTTTTATCTCTTTGTCTTTTCATCCGAATTCTCTCTGCACTAAGCAGCACTCGTGACTTTCTCCTTCCCTTAGTTTTCTTCTTTTTGTATCATCTTGACAGCTTCCCTATTTTATCCCATTTTAGTACGTCTGTTACCACGAGTAATGCGTTTGGATTGAGAATAATGGATGTGGCTTTAAAGAACTGTATTTTTTTGAAATTCTAAGGAACTGCGTGATTTTATGGAATCTGAACGAATTCACTTTTTGTGTTTTTAATATTTCTTCAATTATCGATCTACTAAGATAGTTTGAAGACACATCCAAAA